ATCTAGAACTGGGCTTTTTGACACCTTTTCTTTGTTTGGAGACTCTCTGAGTGGGTGGGGTTTAGAAAGAGAGAGACAGAAATGGGGCTTTGCAGATCATGCAGGGCCAAGTTGGAGGTTCCAACTGAACAATATGTAATAGGGATAGAATTAATTTGTGATCTTAAAAACCATCAGATGTTCTAAAGACCACAGAAATTAACATAAAATGGCTCTTAGTTAAATTTCAACTTATCCAGCATTGTTGGCTGGGGACTAAGGAAGTGGTAAAAGTAAGATGTTGGACTAGCTAGGTGGATCAGCAGATAAAGGTCGTCGTTGCCAGGCCAGAAGATTTGAGGGGTTTTTGTTTTGTTTTGTTTTTTGAGGCAGAGTTCATCTGTGTATCTCTAGCTGTCTTGGAACTCACTCTGTAGACTAGGTTGGCCTTGAACTCATAAAAATCCACCTGCCTCTGACTCCCCAGTGCTGGGATTAAAGGTGTGCTCCAATACTGTCTAGCTGAAGACCTGATTTACATCCCAAGACCCACATGATGGAGGGAAAGAACTAACCCTGCATGTTGTCCTCTGACTTCCATATATGTTGTTTTTTGGGGTTTTTGTTTGTTTGTTTGTTTGTTTTTAAACTAAGGCCTTACTAGTAAAAGTATTTGAATATAATTATAACAGTCTAATAGGATTCCTTATTAGTACCTATTCCTTATTAGTACTCTTGAGGTGTTTTACTACAGATGCCAAAGAAGGATGGTGGTTGGGCAGTGCCATTTACTTAAACACAGACTTAAGAAGACGTTTAAGTTCACATTGAACTCTTTCATTTAAAAGTAGATGTTTGCTACTTCTAATCAATAATATCTGAAAGATCCTGGATGGTGGGAAAGAATGAACATTTTCACTGTCTTAGTTTAACTATCGTAGAAGGCCTTTCCCCTCTCACAATAGAGATTGTTTTCTTATGTATATAGCTAACTTAGATTCCAAATTAGATTTTAAAAATTAAAAAACATCAATAACAGAAACCTGACTAGAACAAATGATCTAAGTAAGGGAGATGTGAAGCCCTTTTGTCATTGAGGTGTGGTCCTCAACTAGCAATCACACAGCTCTGCATCATCATAGAGTACTCGCAGACTTACTGTTGGAAATAAATTCTTTATTCTATGTTTCTTTTGTCCTTGAATGTATAACAAGAACTAAAGTGAAACATACATTTTCTAGTCTTGTCAGAAATTTTGCCTCATTTGCTATTTTCTCAAGTTGATTTAATCTAACTATATGTAAAATTAGCATCTAAATAAGCTAATTTCAAAATTAATATGAAAACAATAATTTAAATGTTTAGGAAGGGATTCTGTTGCCGGGATGTAATTGCATTGGTGCAGTTCAGAAACTAATTGTGTAGGTGACAAAATTCAACCAATTGGTGATAATAGTGTAGTATGAGTAGAATTAGAAGGACTTGATTTTGTTGAAGCGTTTTCATTGTAAATTATATGGCTTAAGTTGCTAAAAGCCTGTATCAGAAAGGTAAACTTTAAGTGTGCTGTATAAAAAAAGGTTCTTCACATAAAAATGAATGAGGAGCCTGTTTATTGGAGAGTCTCACCAACCAGTTCAGCGGTATTTAAACAACAGTTTTTGTATGTTAGTTTTTTTTTTTTTTTTTAATGTTTTTCTGGTTTAACCGTGTTTTAAGTGGTATCTCCAAGGATAAGTTTCATCTTAGTTCCTTCAAGCCTTTGCATTTGTCTGTGATTGAAGCAGATATGTTGATATGTTGCTATGTCCAGGTTCCTTGGATTAAGAAAGCTTTATTTCAGAAGATCTAAAGAGATTCCTGCTTTGTGACTGTACTCTTTTGACAAACTGTGTCTCTGAAAAATGGCTTGTGGGGTTCTTCTGACTTTTAAAAATAATTGGACTTGTGTCCTAAGTGCAGTTGTGATATAGCACTGTTGATAGAGTACTTACCTAGCACAACATAAACCAGGCATGATGGCACATGCCTCTACTCAGAAGATAGAGAGGGAAGGGGATCAGAAAATCTAGGTCATCCTCAACTACTTAGCAAGTTCAAGGCTAAGCTGAAATATGTGAGATGAAGGAAGGAAGGAAAGAAGGAGAGAGGGGAGGAGAAATGGATGAATAAATGAATCAAATACTAATTTAAAACTTCGGAAGTTCTACATGCTAATATAATGGAAATGCTTTTAGGAAGTCAACCATGTGAATAGGCCAGTGCGCTATTTTGGGCATCTAGTATTTAGCAGGGAAAATGACCGAGCAGTGAATTATAGGTCTAAAAATGGCTCCTTTTTCCCAAAATAAAGAAAGGTGCCCTAAGTGTTATCTTTGGAGCTGTGGAGCCTCATTAACAGGTTCAGCAGGAGTAGCCAGGACATTGCCGGGCAGAAAAACTAAGCACAGCAAGCCTTTGAATAACAGAGCAAGTAAGGAATTCCTTACATTGTTCTTCCACGTTAGCTCAGCTCTGTTGTATTGTTTCAACTGAAGTGAACATCTGCTACCTCAAGTTAAGTGAACAAACTCAACATGGCATGAATTCCTGCACTGCCATTCACCTTCAGAGTTATATTGTTACCAGCCACAGGCTTGACTGACTTCTTTATGAATAAGAGCAAATGCTGCTTTGTGACTTTTACCTCAAAACTGTTACAGGAGGCACTATCTTAGCTTTGAGCCTGTGGAAATTTTTACAGGGTGGGTTCACCTGAGAGTAGCATTATTTACCACAGCAGGGTGACTGGTAGAATAAGTCAGGCTAGAAAGACAAACAATAAAAAGCCCTTGCTGTCCATTTTTAAACTAGTATTTATTGGACTGAGTTGCTAAAGAAAGATACTAAAATAATCGAAGTGCTTGTTGGCAACCATCATAATACCAGTTGATTTAGGAAAAAATTGGCACTGGATACTGACAAGTGTGATAAGGAATAGATTTACCTTGGGAGATGCCTCATTTCAGTGACTAGTGTTATTACTAGTACTAACACCACTTGCCTCCTATGATACCCTCTGAAGTTCTTTGTCAACAGTGTATAACTCTAATGGGAAAACACCAGAGAAAAACAATTTAAGAGACAATCTATGAAGTGACTGACCTTTATTCTTTCAAAATTGTTCTACTTAAAGGAGCTGGAACAGACTCAGATACAAGCTTGATGCAAATTTTCCCTTTTTATTTTATTGCCATTTTAATCTTGTACTAGATACACAAGTACTATATTGAAAAGGGGAAAACGACTTCCATTTAATAGTCTTGACTGTAACTTACATTTGGTTTCTCCTATTTTACTCTCTGACTTCATATGGATTTTAAATGGTGGTATAGATTTTGCTTTTTATTTCCTGTGCAACAATCTATAATATTAATCATTAGTTTAGCTACATTTCAAGCTGTTGGAAACTCAGGCTGGAGATGGAGCTTAGTGGGAGAGCTACTACCTGGCATGCACAGAATCCTGGATTTGACCTCCAGGACTGAAAGACAAAAACAAGGAAACAGCTTTTGTATGGTACACATCAGTCATCCTTGTAGTTAGGGAGCTGAGATGGGAGGATCACTGCTAGCCTGGTTTAAATCATGAGACCTTGTTTTTAAAAAAGTACACTAAAATGTGATCATGATTGTTAAAGCAAATTTTTTGTTAGTAAGACCAAGAGCAGTGTTCTTGTTTACAAATATGAGCATGCATCCCTTAAGTCTCATGAACACTTAGTAGGGCCACCAAGATGAAGTTCAGTGTTAATCTTAAACAGGTATGCTTCATTTTCAGGAAGGCAGAATTTGGTGGTCATCTGACTTTTGTGCAGACAGAGTAAGGAAATTGAGGGATTGTTGTTAATTGAATGAGTAATTAGTCAGATAACTAACTGTACCCAAGATTATGTTTGGCTGTTAGTCCCATAAATGGTTTCTGGTGCTGTATTAGCTGATGAGAGGAGCTCACAGTCCTGGTCTAAGATTTATTAGTAATTTGGATAAAGGCTCTTGATGGCACATGAGGAGTTTTAAATGACACAAGCCTAGGAAAGGTGCCTAAAGCACAGGCTGATGAGAGCAAGAACTGAAAGTGATCAGCAGGGTCCTAACCCAGGTGGAAAGGCGGCAGAAAGAAGCAGCATCTTATGGGACATCAGTTGCCAAATATCCAATAAGTGACTTTAAGTATTTGGTTTAGTGTATATGAATCATCAGGAATTTACAGAATCGTTTCAAAGATGAGGAAATACAAAGCAGGGACGTGGTTATTCAGGTGGTTAGAAGGCTGTGAGGCGAAAGGGAATGCTGAGCTGTTAAAAGAGGCTGTAACCATAAGTACAATTCCTGCAACAAAAGCGTGGAAGCCCCCAAGCTACCACTCAGACTTCTGAGGAGGGAACATCACTGCATTAATTACAGATGTGCATCTACATGAGAAGCCAAATATAAATTGCATTTGAATATCTCTTCAGTCTTGAAAATGGTTCTGAAAATAAAATATAAGATTTTGTTTTATCATGTTGTTCTATGCTGTTATTTCCCCCCCAGTCTTCAGAACAGCTTTACCATTAATATTCCTACCTCAGATGGATTAAGTGGTCTTCTAGAGTATTCATAGAAATGTAAATAAGAGAGGGAGTGGGAGGAGGGAGAAAATACACCAGCTCTTCGGGACAGGGTCTCCTTTAAATTCACCATCCTCCTGCCTCAACCATATATTAAATTCTGGAATTACAAACCAGTTTCACCATATTTGGCTTCAGATAAAGTTTCCTTTAAAAACACAAGAGATGAGATGGGGGGATTAGACATTCTCTTTGTATATATTCTTTTGTCATCTTTGGCACTGAAGCCTTTTAGCATTATTGTGTGGACTTGATAACAAGTGTTGTAAGATACAAAATATTTGTCATGATCTCTGAAACATTGGAGAATGAGGTTTAGAATTGATGTCTCTTTTTCCCTCCCTTCTCCCCCCAAATATTGCTTCTTTAGGTCAGTAACAGACCCAAGAGATGGAAAGAGAGTAGCACTCAAAAAGATGCCCAACGTCTTCCAGAATCTGGTCTCTTGCAAAAGAGTCTTCCGGGAATTGAAGATGTTGTGTTTTTTTAAACATGATAATGTAAGTGAAATTGGTGTTTGGGGGAAACTATTTACCAGACCTGCTTCACTGACTCAGTTGAAAACAACAGTGAGTTTAGAGGGTATAGAATTCAGCTATGGTTTTACAATGAAGTCTGAAGAGAAGAAAGTACAGGGTAGTACTCTGAAATACCTGTTGACAGGCTTCTTTCTAAACAATCTTGCTGAAAGGGTCACAACAAATCCCAAGTTATGTTTTCATTGCTTTGCTTTCTTTTTCTAGATTTTCTATGCTTCTTAGGAGTCTTATATTTTCATTATTGAGATCAGTGGTTTACAGCCTCACAGTGTTTTAGAATCACCTGGGAGTCCATTTTTGCAAAATTTGAGTTGGAGATTTGAAAATTATACTCCATAGTTATGATTTACACAAGGCCTGACCCCAAATTAGAAAACAACCACACAGATAATTTCCAGGCTAGCTTGGAATTAATGTATACTCTAGTTTTTGTTTTTTGAGACAGGTTCTATGTCTTGTAACTCACTATGTAGACCAGTCTGACCTCAAGCTCATAGAGGTCCACCTGCCTCTGCCTCCCAAGTGCTGGGATTAAAGGTGTGTACCACCATATCTGGCTTGGGTTGTCTCCCCCCCCCCCCAAAAAAAAAAAAAGAATTGAAGCAGCTAAATAAGTTTTTAAAGACACCTTCCCAAAGGAACATATTTGTGGGGAAAATAGGTAGAAAAAAATCTATAGCCAAGATTGAAACAAATTGACCTTTACTGTGAATCAACCATGAATAAATTTAAGTGGGTTCTAGATTTATAAATTGACAAATGAATATTAAGTGAAGCAAAACAAATTTTGGTATTTAATTGAGGAGTAATTCCAATATTCAATACAAAAATAAAGCATGAATTTCATATGAGTATAATTTAAGTTCAGGAATCATTGGCCCTTGATTTTAAATGTTTTGTTTTTATCTTTTAATGTTTAGGTTAGGATGTAGGAAAAACAATTTCTGCTCTAAAGACAGACAGGATAGCCCTGAAGGTAAGATAGTTAGTTTGCTTCCTACTGTTTAGAGGTGCCAAGACTCACAGGCAAAGAGACTCATCGAACTTTTGAGAGACCACATCTCCTCAACTAACCCTGAGTTAGACATCAGAGTCATGTGACGTTTACTTGGAGTTTGTTAGCATTGAATTGTTTTGTTTTCATGTGAAAAGAGCTGCCTCATTCTTCACATAGTACTTAACTATTTTGATTGTTGTAATTAAAACCTATCAGAAAAATATTTCTTGTGAGTCTGTATGCTTCTTTGCACAGACGCCTTAGTAACTTGGGCCAAAGTTCCAGTCTCACTCTTTAAGATGAAATGTGCTGAAGTTTATTTGGTTAAACTAAAACTATCAGATTCATTGTATGGCTCTCTGGAAGCTGTTCAGATTGGCATGTCTTGAAATCCCTCTTCTCCCTTCCTTTCTTTCAAGACAGAGACTTACTCTATTGCATAGGCTAGTCTCAAACTCATGACAGTTCTTTATCTCATCTTCTAAGGGTTAGAATTATAGCCGTGAGCCACTGTATTTAGCTAAAATCACAGTTTTGTTTTGGTTTCTTTTAGTTTGTTTGTTTCCCGAAACAAGGTTTCTCTGTAGTTCTGGCTGTCCTGGAACTCACTCTGTAGATCAGGCTGGCCTTGAACTCAGAGATCTGCCTGTCTCTACCTCCCAAGTGCTGGGATTATAAGCATAAAACATGACTCAGCAAAAATCCCATTTACTTAAATTTTTCCAAAAAAGTATTGTTGGGCTGGATGGGCATCTATAGGCCATGGTAGAGCACTTGTCCTACATGGGCAATGCCTTGAATCCACTTCCCAGCACCATGGAAGTGCTTCCTTTAGTCCACTCAAGCTGCCTTAGCACTGGTATATGTTTAAATAAGTTTCAAAATACCATTAAAGTTGCTGGCTCATAACTTTATTAATCAAGAGTTCCTAGATTTTGCAAGGTAAGTTAGAATAATATCTATCTAATGCTTACTTAGTTCCTTATTTCTTGAATTTCCCTTAGTATCATCCATCATCAGAGCACAGACTGCTGTACAATGCCCCTTTGCAGTGAGAGTATCTGATAAGGAAATGCTTCTCTCAGAGGAGACTACAGAAGTTCACTTACCTAAGAGCTGACTTCTTTTAAAAAGGCATTGGTATCACAAGCTGCTGTTTAGCTTTGCTCACAACCCATTCCCATAAAGTAATTAAGTTCCTAAGGCAATGCCAGAGTAAGTAGTGTAAGAAAGGAAATGGAATTCTGAAAATCACCCATGTTTAAACACACAGCCAGTTCTAATGGGGTTTGTAAGAGGCAGCTTGAGATCAGAGCTGGGTTTGAATTGCAGTTCTGATATTTTCTAATGCTGTCTTTCATTTATTCAAGGTTGAACTTTCTTATTTGTAAAACAAGCATGATAAAAGTAGAAATGACTGTCTTTGAGTGTTGTAGAAACTAAATTTTTTCATGATATGAACAAATACTTCTTAAAGCACCCAAGCTCTCTGTCAGAAAAGTGTCTGTGATATCTGTAGGAATATTTGATGTGAGGCACTAGTAGGACTGAAGACGGTGTGACAACACTGTTTTATGCATAGTCAGTTTCTCCTTTGCTCCTGATCTGTCTCCAAAGGCATCTCAGGACCAGCATACTTGGTATATATGAATGTCAATCTTAAGAGGCAGCCTATATTTGATGTAACTAAGCCACATTTGGTCCTGTGGGGAATTACAGTAACTTGTCATCGAAAATGCAAAAGGCTGGGTGTGGTAGCACATACTTTTAATCTAAATACTCAGGAGAGAGAGGCACATGGATCTCTATTGAGTTCAAGGCCAGCCTGATCTAATACAGAGTTCTAGACCAGCCAAGGCTATGCAGTGAGGCCTTGTCTCAAACAAACAAAACATTTTAAAAACACTGTCATTTTTCAAGAGGAAAAAAACCAAGCTGTTTTATGCATACATAGGTGTGCTAGATGCTTTTGATTACTTATTCATCTTTTCGAAGTAGAACTTATTAATCCCACTTTACAAAGAAACCAAAGATGTAAGTGTTATTCACCAGAGTCATGATCTGGTATTTAACCAGAGTTAAAAAACTGTCTGGTAGCGGGGCGGTGGTGGCACATGCCTTTAATCCCAGCACTTGGGAGGCAGAGGCAGGTGGATCTCTGTGAGTTTGAGACCAGCCTGGTCTACAACAGCTAGTTCCAGGACAGCCTCTAAAACCACAGAGAAACCCTGTATCGAAAAACATAAATAAATAAATAAACAAACAAACAAATAAATAAAAAATTCTGTCTGGCTCCAAACATGAATGAACTACTAATCCACCTAGCAAGTTACATGTCTTACAGGCATGTGTATATAAAAGAAACTGTGTGGAGACCAGCAAACAATATGTCTGAGCCAGAAGAGATATCTGCTGTCAAACTTAAACAACCTGAGCTCACCTCCTAGGACCCACATGGTAGAAGGAGATTGATTCCCACAAGTTATCCTCTGACCCCACACATGCCATAACACATATTCACCCCCTCCACAGTCACATAAAGTAAAAAAAAAAAAAAGTGTAATTTTTTGAGGTGGGGGTTGTTTCTGTGTTTTGAGACAGGGTCTCTCTTTGTAGCCCTTGCTATTCTGGAACTCACTCTGCAGATCCTACTAGGCTTAATCTATCTGTCTCTATCTAATTCCTCTACTTCCAGAGTGTGCCATCTCGCCCAGCTTGAAAGTATGATTTAAAAAAAGAACTTCCTACAAGCTGTACACAAAAGAGTCCATGTTATTTTGATTCGATTTGTGTAAGGTTTAAGAATTATGGTGATAGAAGTGAGAGTTGTTACTCAAAGATGTTGTAATGCTTAATTTCTTGATCTGGGTAACTTTTACATGGCTGTGCATGCATAAAGTTCATCAGATTATGCTCTTAGAATTTGTATACTTTACAAAAACTGTAGCAATAATGTAGTCTCTCTACCTTAAGAGAATGCCAAACATGAAATTTCAATTGGTGTGTTTGTGTTTTACTCTTGCCTTTGCATCCTTGGCAGAGTAGAAACCCTTGTTGGTTTGGTGAGTGAACACTTAATTTCCCTTACCTCCACACCACCTAGGTCTGGTAGGGTTTCTTTTTGCTTGGGGTTATTGCTTTCGTTTTGTTTTATGCATTTCTCATATAGTTCTGACTGACCTGAAACAGGTAGACCAATCTAGGCTTGTTTCTGCCCAAGTGTTACCACACCTGGCTACTTTTTTTGTTTTCTTTTGTTTGTTTTGTTTTGTTTTCCAGGTGGTGGTAGTGGGGATCCTTGGATTTCTTCCAAGGCATCTTTGCAAGTGCCTTTCTGTTTTCTTTGAATTCCCTGAATGATGGCAGAGTTGAGAAAGTCCTGTTTCAATAGGAGAGTTGCCCATGAAGCTCAGTGTTTGAACTCTCTAGAGTCCCATCTCACTTGTCATTCACATTGCTTTTGAGATCCTAGACCTTTTCTGCTGATCTGAGCACTGCTTTGCTAGAAATACTGTGCTGTGCACTTCTAGTAAACACTTAGTTTAAACAAAACAACAGACATAAAAACTTTCAGCGTTTAAGGCAGTCAGCAGCCAAATGAGATGGGGCAAATGTCTGACAGTGTTTGTGGCTTTTCTTTCTACAAGGAGCCTCATCAAATTTGGGATAAGAAAGCCTTGTTTTTCTTAAAATAGAGTTGTTACTTCCCACTAGATAACCTCTAATTAGCACAGATAGATATGAAGTGTAAAATAGCTTTGCCTAATAGACACTGTCACTCGTTGTATCTGTTTTCCCTTAAGAGACTGCATCTTGCTCAGGTACAGAGTTGAGAGTCTAAAAGATACCTTGTAATGTTCTGATTTCTAACCACCTTCCTCAAGCTTCAGACATTCATATTGATTTTTGTGTGTGTGCTACAAGTAGGCAAGTTATACAGATTTGCTATACTGGCTAATTAAAGGTTTTAAATATATAAAAGTGAGGTAATTATTTTCATATGGAAGTTTTCTTTGAAGAAACTGGAAATGTTTTTTTGCTTATCAAAATTCTAAGTATAAACGTTTTGTTGTTGTTCCATCTCCAGCATGGTAATAAGCAAATAACACTAAAAATTGAAAAAACAAAATTTTAGATCCTGCAGTTTTGTTTTTTTTTGTTTTTTTTTTGTTTTTTTTTTAATTTTTATTTGATGGAAATACTTAACTGATGTATAGCTGATGCTCCAAATGTAAGGAGCATAGGAGCTCCGAATGCGATGGGAGTGGCTTTCTCAGTAACTAAGGCTATGTACTGACCACATGGATATTCTTCTTTTGCCTGCTTTATAATTTTCAAATTCTCTACAAGTGAAAATAGTTCTTAAAAACTATGGTAAACCTGTGTGTTGGCACCTTTACTCCCAGCACTCAGAAAGCAGAGACATGCAGATCTCTGCAGAGAGAATTACAAGCCATCCAGGACTACACAATGAGGCCCTGTGTGGAGCAAGGGGGAGGGATCAGAAAACTTGTGCTTAGTGCTTATAAGCACACTGTTTCTTGCTTATCTTTTCTTTGTCCTTTGAGCCCAATGTTTCTCTTCAGCAAATTAGGTATGATGTTACAGCCAAGACTCACGGCTTAGCTAGATGGTGGTGGGAACAAGTCTGTGTATTATTTTCTGTTCCAGGCACACTGCTTTATAAAAAGTACTGGAATTTCAAAAGCCTGATGTCTGTTTCCCCACGCCAGTAGCTTCTTTTCTTGTACTTGGAACAAAGTCCATCATATCTAAAGCGACTTAAGGAGACCCACCTTCCTCTTGGACTTTATACCATCCTCTATTCCTCTGAGCCATTGTATTTCATAACTGAGGGCTTTTCTCGTTTCCACAAGCTGCTTCCATACCGTCACATTGCCTGCCCATTAACTGACAAACTCTTATCCAGCCTTCAAGTCTATTAGTGTTACTTCTGGGAAGCTCTCCTCTGCTCTCCTTACATGTTTCCTGCATAGTAATGAAGGGTATGGTTCTATATTGAGCAAGTGTTGTTTCATGCATACCTTCCCTTCCAGTCATGAAAATAGGGAAGCTAATCATTTTTTTCATATGCATAAACTAAGAATCTACCATAGTGTCTGACAGGTGAAATGTGTGTAGTGAGCATATGCCAAACAGAGGAGCAGAGCAATGGAAGGTAGAGATGGTCTTCATGCTCTTAAAGCAACTGTCACGCTCCTTTCCACTACTCTGAGCAGCAGGTGGTAGTGTGTGATGTAACCCATTTCAGCTTAGCTATAGTCATCTCTTGGAAAGTTTATGGAGCTTTATCTTAGGGATTATATGTTTTTTTTTTTTTATACTAATAAACCGCTCGTATTGGTGGCCAGCTGTTACTAAGACTTGTCATTAGTTAACAGCATTTACTTGCATTTGTGTCAAACTTTGTTTTCTTTTCCATTCTCTGAACTTGACTTTGTGTTTTGTTTTGTTTTTTTCCCTTTCTTCAGGTACTCTCTGCCCTTGACATACTCCAACCTCCACACATTGACTATTTTGAAGAAATGTATCCTAACCAGGGAGTGTGAAAGAAGGGGATATTTAAAATTGTTATTGCTTAACCTGGTTTGTTTGGTTTTTTTTTTTTTTTTTAACCACCTCTGGGGGGGGGGGTTCATGTCACAAGTTACATTGTCTCATCCTTACAGAAGTGGTTGAATACCTACCTACCTGAAAACAGGTAATTTTGAGGTCCAAAGGCCTGTGTGGTAACAGATGGACATCTGGATAGATCTCATATTTATTCTTCATGTAGTTTTGTGAGCTACATAATTTCTGTCCCATTTTGTAGATAACCAAAGAGGCAGTCATGTTGTATAGGAGCCCCATGGAATGAGTGGCTTTGCCATACCCAGCAACTGTCTATCAAAAGGATAATATTGTGGTTGCTTTTACCACTTAGGGTGTGGTAAAATCAATGTTATGATGTTCCTGGGGGGGGGGGCGGGGAATGATGGTGGTGATGATGGTAGTAATAGCTATTCCTGCTACCTAGATGTCAAACACTCTAAGTTCTTTATACATATTTGTTTAATTTCTATAACAAACTACTTCGTGGGCTACAGTATTTATTCTTACTTTACAGATGAGTAAATTGAGGCACAAAAGGTAAGAAACTTGGCAGAGGTCACAGAACTAGGAAGTATTGGGATCGATGTTTAATTTAGTCAGGCTTGAAAGTGCTGTGTTCTCAGTTCCTACCTATATGAATCTCTCCCATTTCTACTAATGCTGCCTAAAGATTTTTAGGTATCCAGAGTAATAATGAACAGTAAAATAATACATGTAACAGTTTTTGAGACTGCATGAAGAAAAGTGAGGTATAGACAAGGCTATCTGACAGTTGTAGGGTGGGTGTCACCAGTGTCTATTTGCAGGTAACCCAGTGAAGCGTCACATTAAAGACGGAGGATGAGAATCCCGTCACTGAGTTGGGTGAAGTCCTAATTGTATGGTGTGTTTGAACAAGGGTTTTTATGTATACTTAGGCCTGTTACTTGGAATGAAAGCCAATTATGTTACTTTTCTGATTCAGCACTGAAACAAATGAAAATCTTTCCTCTCTCCCTGGTAGCAGTAGCTGATAATCCCATCCTAGACAACTGTAACTAAGAACAATGAAGTGTTCCCAAAGGGGAAGAGAGAAGCTCAGTGGGCTTAGGAATGGGGAACCTTATAAGGTGATCGCAGTGTCAGTGAGCCACATGGCCGGGGTGTTTCAGTCTGTTAAGTGAAGCTCTTAAGTGCTGTCATCGAAGGCAACATTTTAATCCATGAATCATTTATGAAATTTATCCTTTCTTGCAGTACAACTTGGTGCATTTGAGGTGCCTCAGCAATGCTCGTTCCTAAAAAAGGACTTGACTTACATCTCTTGTCCAGCTGCTAGTTGATAAGAGAGTCTTTGCATGCCTGATAACATTTGGGCCAAGCCAGATCATTCTTGCATGTATAAAATTGGCTCAATGTGATAACACACATCCATAATCTCAGTACTCAGGAGACTGAGACAGGATCTTGATTTTAAGGTCGGCCTGGACCACATTGTGAATTCATAGCATCCTAAGACCATGTCTTGGGTGGTGGGTGCAGTGGGGTGGGTGGGGAGAAAAATTGCCTAAGTGTCAGAAAGAAAAGTTGGAAAAGTACTTTCTCACTTCAGTTTGCTACTCAGGCAGAGACATTAATAACTGTGTTTCATAGGCTTCATGAAGATTGCTTGGAGAAAAGGAAGGTACCATGGGAGTGAGCAGCACTACTTTCATTCTGTAGAAGTGTCCTCTTATGCTTGTCCAGGAGCTACCTTCTTTAACCTTTCAGTTGGTGTTGTCAGTCTGAAATATATTCCTGCCTCTTTGGAAGTGGAGTTTTTAAAACAAACTTTTTATCAGGAGAAATAGTCTTTTGGGTACATAATTTACTTTATTATAGTTTGTATCAGATATTCCCAAGACTTGTCTCAGGATTGGTGGACTTCTGAAAGAACTTAGAGGACTCAGGAAAGCTGTTCTCATAATTACAAATTGTATAGCAAAAGACACAGATTAAAATTACCACAGGAGAAGGCTCATTGGGTGGGTGTGAGGTTCTAGTTGTGCTCTTTTAGTAGAATGGTAAGCATTCGGTTTTGTTGTCCCAGCTAGAGAGTATAACAACATGGGCAAGTCATACCAACCAGGGAAGCACGTTTGAGCCTTGCTTTCAGGGACCATATTGTGAGTGAGTTATATAGTATGGAGCCACCCATGTACTTCATCTCCAGCAATCTTTCCCTCCCCTGCTTGTGGGTAGGGAACATAATACAAAGCCCAGGGCACACAAAAACAGATGCTCACCAGAAATCATATTGTAATTGTAAACTTAATGTGCCATAGCCAAAGCCTCCAAGGGTACAGTGGTACCAGTATCAGGCAGATACTACAGTGGCTCAAAGGTAATTTCCCAGACTCAGGACTTTGGAATATGTAGGATTTGGCTAAATCTGAACTACTGAATTTGTCTGTGCTGTTTATAAACCATCTGTGGGGAAAGTGTTTTCATTTAAAAGGAAAAAAAGATGAATATGAAGGCACTAAATATCAAACACAGTTCAATTCCCTTCATTGAACTTTGCCTAATTCACAATAACCATTTTGTCTACATTATAGTTCAGACAAAAATTGTTTATATAATTGGTGGTGCACACCTTTAATCCAGCACTTGGGAAGTGGACGCAGGTGAATCTCTGTGAGTTTGAGGACAGCCTGGTCTACAGAGCAAGTTCCAGGATAGCCAGCCCTACAGAGAGAAACCCTGTTTAAAAAAACAAACAAACAAAATGTTTATATCAAGGATTTTGTGTTCTAAAGTTTGTTTGTCCTTTTAAAAAAAAATCATAATAAGCCTGCCAGTGGTGTCACACGCCTTTAATCCAAAGTGCTTGGGAGGCAGAGGCAAGCGGGTCTCTTGAGTTCAAGGCCAGCCTGCTCTACAAAGTGAGCTCCAGGACAGGCTCCAAAACTACACAGAGAAACCCTGTCTGGACAAACAAAACAAAACAATCATAATGGATTAGCAGGGTAAGAGCACCTGCCCTCAAGCATGATCACCTGAATTTGATCTCTGGGACCCACATGGTAGAAAGAGAAAACCAATCCCCACAAGTTGTCCTCTGATCTCCATACATACACACTCATAGACACCGGATGGATGGATGTGATAGAGGAATTCTCTGTCACTATGGACCATCATGTAATCGTTGCTGGAAAAATCCTTGATTCAAAACAAATAGAACAAAAAAAAAAAAAAAAAAAAAAAAAACAAAAAAAAACAAAAACAAAAACAAACCTTGATTCATCATGATTTCATGTATTTCCAAAAGAAAAGTTAGGATAGTTAGGTTTTAAAATCATGAGTGGCATAGCTGACTTTGTAGTGTTAGTAGCCAATTTCAGTTCATTTTATTAATTAGCACTGTTTATGATTTATCGTGAGTGTTCAAGTAAAGGACCTTTATCATATAATACTCAGGGAGTCTTCTAGTGTTTGCTTAAACATTTACTCTTATTTTGCTTCACCATATCACTTTTAGCTTCCTTTTAAAATTGATGTACTGCTCTTAAAGTAATGGAAAAATCATTCAACTCTAAACCTCAATATTATGTTTCTTGTCTTACAAATTTTGCTTATGTGTAGAACAATGAAAAGAAAAAGGTAATCTCTGTGAGGTGTTATTTGTAAAAACTGAATGCTTTCACTATGAGAAATATACCTGTGGCTGCCGTACAGTTGTAAAGATTGTTAGGAAGTGTGGTTAGCTTGGACATCAGTAGAACAGCTGACAGATGAAAATGAAGGGAATGCTTTGGTTACATGTGTGCTCTGCTTTTGCTCATTTTTTTTAGTGTCCTAAAATGAGTAGTTTTTGTTTTCCTGTAATGCAGATAAATTTGTTATTGCCAAAGCAAAGTTTTAAAAAAAAAAAAAAAATTCTTTAGTTTTTAGTTTCTCTTCAATTAAGTAATAAGAAAACTTACTACCGGAACACAGCTATATTAATGATTAGTAGAGTCTCAAGTTACCATATGAATTGGATATATTATTTGCCTAGGTCAGAGCCCCTTCTGTGATATCTCAGAAATATGCACACATGGTTTTAGATAGTGGATTGTTTTTCAGAGGGTTGCTGTGTCTTTTTGGATTTTAAAGTGGGTAATATTTTGGCTTTTAAATACAGTTGGCCCTCTTCTGTTTGTGTGTTCTAAAACTAAAAATCAGCCATCCTTAGGTGGAAATATTCAGGAAATACTACAGGAAAGTTCACCTATAAACGAGTGTGCACAAATTTTTTTTTATTTATCATTTTACCCCAAACAATGTAATAACTGTTTAGACAATGTGCATGTTATGTTCTGTATAAGTCAGCAAGAAATGTCTTGGAGTAATGAAGTCCCATCTGTAACACCTTCCAGTGTTTGTTTACATTTATTGTTTTATTTGTTTGTTTCTGGTTTTTTGAGACAGTATTTCATTGTGTAGCCTTGGTCACTCTGTAGACCAGGCTGCCATCAAACTCACAGAGATCTGCCTACCTCTGTCTGCCTCCCAAGTGCTGGGATTAAAGGATGTACCACCACTGCCTGGCTAGTTCCAGTTTTTAACCCAAAATATCAGCTTAGGTATATTATTTGACTCTTTTTTTTTTTTTTTTTTTTTTTTTTTTTTTTTTTTAAGATTGTGTATTTCTCTAAACTAATGAATTAGCTTTGAATGGATTACATTTTTCATTTTGTACTCTGAGTTTCTGTTAGGAAATCTGTATCAAAACAGTTTGCAACTTAATTACATTTGACTACTGAAGTTAAAGTCAGAGAAACAGTTCTAATTGTTTGACTGGGGAACAAAATTTTCTTCTGCCAGGATTCTGTACCCTGAAGTGCAATGAACAGGCCCCTTACAAAGTACCAGATGATTACTAGATTGGAAATAAATACTAGTTTGTTTTGGGAAAGGCTTATTTTTAGCCTG